CAGAGGTGAACTCACACACATCTGTGCCCTTAACCCAGACTTTAAAAGACATTATTTACTTCATTTCTGAATCAGTTTTACCTTTTGGGATCAAGTCAGCTTTAGACTCTTGTGAAAAAGAAGTGCTCTTGTTTGTAGTGAATGTGCACTTGTAATGTACTTCAAATCTTAAAAGAATGTTTTTTTGCAGATAATATAATATTAATGAAATGAAAGGTCACTTAAGTGACTTGAGAGACACTTACATGACTGTTTCTGAACACACTTAAGTACACTTTTAAAAAGTGGCCTTTGTAATAATGTCAAATTAAAAGTTTTACTTTAAAGTACTGTTGTAATTATTATGTTTTAATAATCTTATATCATGATTTAAAGACGTGCACTTATTTTGATGTGTTGACTAACATACTTAAGCACATGTGAATTACTTGGTTATAATTTTAACTGTAGTGTGTTATTCAATATTACATTTAATTTCATGTATTTTAAAGGCACTAAATTTACAATTTATTAGTGCTGTCAAATGTTTAATCGTGATTAATCGCATCCAAAATAAAAGTTTTTGTTTACATATGTGTGTGTACTGTGTATATTTATTATGTATATATAAATACACACACATGCACATATATAAAAATAACATATTTTAAATTTATATTAAATATATTTAGATATAAATTATATAAGTATATGCACGTAAATATTTTTCAAATATATACTGTATGTGTGTAAATATATGTATGTATATGTACATAATAAATACACATATATTATGTAAACAAAAACTTTTATTTTGGATGCGATTAATCATGATTAATCATTTGAGAGCACTACACTTTATTACAAATGTATTGCAAAAATATTATAATTGGTATAAATGCTTGTCAGTACATTCAGCAGTACTTTACCCATATTTCAAAGACAATAGGAGTAAATATGAAAATACATATAAAAATTATAGATTAAGTCCTAGTTAAGTGAAAAAACACTCCAAAGTTAAACTATTTTTAATATAAATTAATATAAATTTAAACTGTAATACAGTTTGGTAACACTTTATTTTAAGGTGTCCTTGTTACACGTTACATGTTCTTACTATTATAATAACAATTAATTATGCATAATTACATGCAAGTAACCCTAATCCTAACCCTAACCATATAGTAAGTACATGTAGTTAATTAATATTACTCAGTACTTAAATATATAATTACAATGTAACAAGGACACCTTAAAATAAAGTGTAACCTACATTTTCATTTAATTGCAGTTAACATGCAATTAAGTGTCTGACAACATAACATTCAGTTCACACTTAAGTATATTATTTAAAGCATATTATTTCCATAATAACCACTTTTTTAATAGTATTGTAAGGTGGACTACTTTTTCACAAGGAGAGGTAAACACACACACATTAAACGAGAAGAAGATTGGTAATTCATTACTTTATACACTTGTTTGTTTCTTTACTCGATTGTTCATTCTTTTCTAAAACGTAGAGCTATCCATTAGCATTCTTCTTCATCTCAATAAGTCCATTTCACGGTTTAAGAGATTTTAAGGGACCAGCATTTGAAGCCAAGCAGCCAAACTCTCACCCTCTGGTTCAATCATTCATTCATTCATTCATTCATTCATCTGTTTATCTATTTATGAATTTGACACACACTTCAGCTCTCTTCTGACTCAGTGTTTGTGTGGTTTCTCGCTCTGTAGCGGTGATGTTCAGTGTTTTTTTCTCTCTGAAGGAGGATGACAGCAGGAGCGGATGCATTATTCAGAGTGTGGATGAGAACGGAGCAGCTGGAAGGGTATGAATCACTGTGCTGCAAAATTAAAGGCAAAAGAAACGATGTTCACAACCTAGGCCTGGGCGATAAAACGGTATCGACGGTACACCTTCTTCGATAACGGTAGAAAAAATGTTCGATATAGTGCACGATATAGGCACGTGCTATGAGTGACCCAGACATCTCACACAACCATGACCACATGCTGAGTGCTGTGCCTGCCTGTGATGAGGAGATTGTGAATAAAGAATGATTATTAGTCGAATTTAAAATAAACATTTGAATGTTAAGTGTGCATCAGGGAGCGTCATTAGTGGAGCACGAGATGCGGTGATGCAAGTGACGTTGTTGCATTTTAATGTTTTGTTAGTCTAGCCCACGAGACGCGCCGCTGCTGTGTTATGTATTCAAAATATTAGAGAAATATAGTATCTCAGTGAGGAGAAGATCTTGATTAGCTGAAAACTGAAACCAAGCCATTCACACAGATGCATATTCAGCACATTTTTTTAGACGGACAAATATGACTGCTGCACTGCGCCCTCCTGTGGCCTCGTGATACAAGCCAAATGTTTCCTTGAGACCTATTTACTCTGCATATAAAACATTAGAAATTAGATATTTGTTTAATTTTTATTGTGTGTTTAACTGTTAAAACAAAAAAATATTTGTTGTTTGTCTCAATAAGTTGGGTTAATTTAAAAACACAGTGGTTAAATTTGAACATGTTTTTCTATTGCTCTTTGTTTTAAAAAAGGTTATAAAAAATGTCAATACTTATTGATACCGAACGATATGAAACATTATATCGTTGATACATTTTTTAGCTATATCGCCCAGCCCTATCACAACCCTTTGTACTTTTCAAATGTGACATACAGTATTTCTGATGTTCTGCCAGAGAGACATAGAGGGTTTTTAAATGTAGGGAAAAGTGTTGCCTGTGTGACATTTTGATTATTACAGACAAATTTTTTTTGCATTGATGAATTGTGCGCAATTAAGACCAGCAAAGTGTTTTAGGAAAGTAAACGTGGTTGGTTTTTATTAAGTGTTAGGGGTAGGGGTTAAGTGTTATTTTAGCATCACTGATAAACTCTTATAGTTTTTGTTAATGTTTTGAATTAGATTTAACATTTTCCGTTTTTACTTTAATTTCAGTTGTTGTGTGTTTTTGTCATTTTCATTTTTAAAAATATGTCTACGTAGTATTTATTAATTGTTATTTATTAGTTTTACTTTATTTAGTTTCAGTTGTTTTAATACTTTAACTTGAACTAAACAGAACTGAGAAATATTGCCTTGAAAACTAGCTCAAATAAAATAAGCTGAAGTTTTATTTCAGCTAATGTTTATTTTATTTCAAGTTACGAAAATATCAATAATAGTCAATAATAACCCTGTTTAATGTATAGATAGCCCTCAGAAAGAGAGAAACTGTTTGCTGGGGTCATTATACAAATATATTTGAACACAAATTGCTGTGATTAACCAATCACAATAAAGCATGCCTGAAAAATTGGAAAATTAATTTCAAGGCAATTTTGTGGATGTAAATAATTCATAAAAATAAGTCACACTTGATGTCAATGTGTGTTGCACTAATACTGTGTCTTTTTGATTTAATAAGGCTTTTGAGAGAATATCTGTGTTTTATGGTAACAATATATACTATAATGCAAATATCTAACCTCTCTCTCTCTGTGTGTGTGTGTGTGTGTGTGTGTGTGTGTGTCAGGACTGTCGGATTGCAGCGGGACACCGGCTGCTCACAGTGGATGATGAGATGGTGCTGGGACTCTCTGTGGAAAAGGTAAAACTCTTTCCAACTGTGAAATGTTTTGAAGTAAGAGTTTACTGTATTTTTGATCAAATAAATGCAGTCTTGGTGAGCAGAAGAGACAAAAACAAATCTTACCGACCCTAAAACGTTTGAACAGTAGTGTATGTAAATAGGATTTATTATCTCCAAAAATGTCACCGTCTGATGTGAAATGTGTGTTGTAGGTGACGTCACTCCTCCAGAAACCCCAGCAATCCGTGAAACTCACCATCTGCACTGACTCCGCCTCCCAACCCTCCTCATCCAATCAGATTTGCTCTGGATCAGATTCTGGAAGCAGCCTGCCGCTGGTGTCTCTGACATCATCAGAGACAGAGCCAATCAGGAGTAAGAGGGCGGGGTCTGGGGGTATTAAAGTAAAACAGAACAAGTTTATTATTGAATGAATCAGAAGCTGATCTCTGTCCTCATGAATATTGTGCTGCAGATTCGAGCAGATGCTCCACACCGGCGACACTGGCGTCTGATCCGGCGACGTGTCCCATCATCCCCGGCTGTGAGACCACTATAGAGATCAGCAAGGGCAGAACAGGACTGGGGCTGAGCATCGTGGGCGGCTGTGACACGCTGCTGGTGAATAAACTCACTGACGTGTGCGACTGATAGAAACTTGTGCACTCACACACAGGAAATTACCAAAATGTGCACAAAATTAGCTTCCACCATCAATTTTTTATTTACATAGTCTTCAACTCAAAAAGTTGGAACTTAAAGAAAATCCAGTTGTCGTTGTTATGTATTAAAACTAAAACTATTGATTAAGTGAAATAGAGCTGAAATAAAATATAAATATTATTTGAAAAGCTTGAGCTAAAAAACTGTTAATTTAGAATTAGAACACAAATTAGAAATGTTATCTTGGCAGTTAACAGAAATATTACAAGTTTAAGTAAAACTAAAAATAAATAAATAAATAGCTATATATATACAGTGGGTACAGAAAGTATTCAGACCCCCTTAAATTGTTCACTCTTTGTTATATTGCAGCCATTTGCTAAAATCATTTAAGTTAATTTTTTTTCCTCATTAATGTACACACAGCACCCCATATTGACAGAAAAACACAGAATCGTTGACATTTTTGCAGATTTATTAAAAAAGAAAAACTGAAATATCACATGGTCCTAAGTATTCAGACCCTTTGCTCAGTATTTAGTAGAAGCACCCTTTTGATCTAATACAGCCATGAGTCTTTTTGGGAAAGATGCAACATATATATATATATATATATATATATATAAAATAGCTAATTACAAATATTAAAAACAAAAACTAATTAAAATGACAAAAGCACATAGCAAAATTACTAAAACTCAAAATAAATTTTAACTAAAAATATAAAAATAAAAAGGTTAATTTGAAATATTAATAAAAGATGAATAGAACTTAAAAAAACTAATAAAAATGACAAAATCATAGCAAAATTACTTAAAAAGCTAAAATATAAAAATAAAAGAGATATTAATTAAAAGCTAAATATAAATATAAAGAAATGAAAACTAATAAAAATGACAAAAACATATTACAAATAATTAAAACTTAAACTAAAATTAAAATAAAACTGAAAATTTAAAAATAAAAGCTAATTCAAAGTATTACACTATAATAGTATACAACACTATAAATAATACTGTACAGTAACACTGGCCTTATCAGCACATCAAAATATTGTAAAATATAATGATTTAAAATGACTCTTTAAGTCACTTAAGTGGCCTTTTATTTCACTAATATTACATTATCTGCAACTACAGTTTTTTTTTTTTTTTATGTACTATTAAGATTTGAAGTCCACTACAAGTGCACATTCAACACAATTAAGCACACTTCTTTTTCACAAGGACGTAGGAACTCATTTATAAGGACTGTATCTGTCTGTGTTCAGGGCACTATTATAATTCACGAGGTGTACGAGGAGGGAGCTGCGTCTAAAGACGGCCGACTGTGGGCAGGAGATCAGATTCTGGAGGTACAATCGCGACTCTTCTGACTAGCCTTTTTATTTCATGCCAGCTTCATTTCATCCGTCTCGTAACTCATTGTCTCTCTCAGGTGAGCGGTGTAGATCTGCGCGTGGCGACGCACGACGAGGCCATCAATGTTTTGCGGCAGACTCCGCAGCGCGTTCGTCTGGCGGTCTTCAGAGACGAGGGTCAGTATAAGGAGGAGGAGCTGTGGGACTCGCTGAGCGTCGAGCTTCAGAAGAAACCAGGCCATGGCCTCGGACTCAGCGTCATCGGGAGAAGGTACTAGAGCACTAGTTAAGCTACTAGTCAGTAAAGTGTGGGTAAATAGTAAATTGGGCTGTCTGCATATTTTTACACATTGATCAGAATTGCGTTCTATATTAAATCCGTATAGGACGCAGTTGTTTTAGCATCTTTTATCTAAACATATGAAAATACTTCAGTATGTCTTGCATTTAAATAAAGTTCAGCATGCATGTCGATGTTAGAAGTTAAATCATGACGGATGTGCAACAGACACCTTTTGCATGAATTGTCTCAGAGACATTGGCTGTTGCTAAATTAGTAATACATGTAATGGTGCATGAGTGTGAAATTAAAACATTCATTTTAACCACAATAAAAATGCACACAAACATCTCTTTTTAAATTATGTTCTGTTTACAGCCCATGTTCTTGATTTGCCGTATAACATTAAGATATATCTCCACTTGCGAAAATGAAAAACTTTTAAAAAGAATACTTGCTGCACCATGTATGTACTTATTATAACAATTACAGTAACTGGGTAATAACTAGGTACTAACCTCGAACCTACCCCTAAACTTAACCTTAACCCACGTAGTTACTTTGTACTATGCAGTACTTTCTTGGATAAGTACACTGAAAGTGCACTTAATGTTAAATAAAGTGTAACCAAAATAATATACTTTAAAAGAATATACTTAAGTGTGAACTGAATGCAGTGTTCTCAGACACTGAAATGCATGTTAATTGCAATTAACTGTAATGTGTTATTGTGCTATTGAACTTTTTGACTCACTTAAGTAAAACTTAAGTACATTTTAAAATGCAGTTACTCGTACTGCCGAATACACTGTGACAATGTATAATTTTCTTTAATTATGTTGTTAAAAATATCACCCACTTGTCAGCTTAACCTAAAATGTTATGTTTTTGTTTGTTTGTTTGTTTTATTATTGTCTATCAATTCATAGAACAAGTGATACTGATGAAAATCTAAAAAATTATTAAAATTAAGCGCATTTAAGGTTGCATAGGTTAGGTTTCTAACTAATATATTTAATAGCACTAAATTGTTTAAGTTTTTTTATGTAATATAATCATGTTTCAACCAACTTTTAACCCCAGTTGTACTGGAGAATACCAAGTAATCAATAAACAAAAATTCAATTGTAATGATATATATATATATATATATATATATATATATATATATATGTATTTAATAGTACATGTAATACACTACAACATATGAACTTTAAATGCAATATTGAATAACATACTTCAGTTAAAAAGATAAACAAGTGCTTTACATGTGCTTTAGTATGTTGGTCAACACATCACAATAAATGTACTTCTATAAAACAAGATTATTTTAAACATGATTTAAAATGTACTTAATTTGACATTATTACAAAGGTCACTTTTTAAAAGTGTACTTAAGTGTGGTAAGAAACAGTCATGACAGTGCATGTGAAACAGACACCTTTTGCGTTAATTGTCTCAGAGACATTCCAAGTTTCCATCCAGTTTTTGCGCTTTGTTATCGACAAAGAGAATATGTGTAAAAAAAATAATAAATTTGCTGTCTACAGCCTGTTTCCATCCAACTGGCCTTTTACCGATAAAATGGTGTGTGTGATGACGTCATCCCTAAAAACACGAATTGTTGCATAAGTTTTGGCGTATTGCAAAAAAGAATTGCCCTTGAGCTGTTTCCATACATAATTTCATCTATATTGCGTAAATTATATAGGCTAGTAGCCTGTTCTTTATCCATTTGAAACAAAACTTAATTATATAGCCTATTATTAAATTGTATAGGCCTGCATTCAATTATTTTTATTAGAAAGTGTCATAAGTTTTTTTTTTGTACTTTGTTATAGACTATTTAGATACTTGATCATCAAGCAATAATCATAATTTTTCTGATTAACTTTTATTAGGAAATAGGAATGTTCATTTCGGTTATTATATTTCTCCTAAAGCCTAACCGACAACCAACGGTCGTTAAGCCATTATTAACCGTTAACCGACAAGATCATGTTAAATTACAATTAAATGAAATTTGAATTGATACGTGGCTGTGACCCATTAAAAATACTTAAATTTGTTTTCCAGGGATTAATTTTATACACGAAAAAAGGCAGCATAAACAACAGAATGTGAGGATTCACATGGTTACCTGCAGCGCTTCTGCGATAACATTATAAAGCTATATATAAAAGAAATAAATAGGCATATAAGCGAAATGTATTTTTCTAAATAATTACTGAATTAACAAAACAAAAGAAAAAAACTGTGCAACAATTAGCAGCCTAAATGCAGAATTTCGTTAGATTTTTCTGATGCGCTTTTGAGAAAGCGGCATCCTGTTTGTTTCCTTTATTTTACAAAAGCACAGTGTTTTGTTTTTGTGAATGTACGAAAATAAAAGAAATATTTAGAATAGTTTTGAATAATGTCTTACTCTTATATGACCACAAATGGAGTAGGCTATTTGTTGTATATTTATAAGTTGTTTCCACTTTTATAAGGAAAAAAGTTAAGCATTTAAGCATTACTAACTCGACAACGCAGCCTGTTCATTGTCATAATAAAATACAGCCAGCCAAACATATTGTAAAAAACATGCTATTTTATTTCCCCTCATTTCAGAACAAATCCTTTCAAATTTAACAGTAGAACAGTACTCAGAACAAAACAAGAATAAAAATATAAGAAGCTACTAACCAGCCAAAACGAATTAATTTAAAATGTTGTACTTATCGTTCCAATTTCCACGTAAAACAAGATCTTCAGAACAAAATGAATAAATTTGAACTTGCAACGTACATCAAATTAAGATATGTAGGCCTATGTTTGAGCGGTAACTTGTCAATTTAATAATATGAATATGATTTAATGCGCTTTTGAACTACAGGGAAACGGTGCTTTAACGTGAGCAACACGAACACGGATGCTGCCTATAGGCTAATTCTGTCATGTGACAACACATTTATTTGCGTTAACGCCCCTTTTCTCGACAAAAAGTGTTTCCAAACAAATTTTTGCGACATTTGAACTATCGATATAGAATTTATGCGCTAAAGTTAAATGGAAAAAGATTGTGTCGACACATGAGAAATTTTATCGATGAATGGCATTTCCATCAGCTATATCGGTAAAAATTTTGAAGCGCTAAATATATATATATATATTTTTTTTTTAATCCTTGGATGGAAACCTGATAATTGGCTTTTTCTAAATCAGTAATGTAATACAATAGCCGGGTTTCCATCTAAAGTTGCGAATTTAACTTATGCGCAAAATTGAAATATCACATAAAACATTTGCAAATAAGCACCGTTTCCATCCAACGAGTCAAAGAGAACAAAATCGTCACTTCCTGGTAGAACTGACGCTAGGCTATACAGTATATCACTATGAAAAGTAGGAGAAACCATTGAATACAATAATTTTCATTGGCCTATATAATAAATTACTTGCGCCTCAGAGCGAGAAGACGAAACAAAATAAATGCGGTCATTGCTTTTGGAGGTGGATGCTGATGTTTGGGAACACAGTCGTGTAACAGTTCTGGGAGGCAATTATACAGAAATGCGTTGATGACAGACTTTGCTCGGACATTTCAAAATGACCATAACATTTCAGATGCTGAGGAATGAGATTGGTCCACTGGTTAGGGTTTGCCGTCCCAATAGCGCAGTCACATGACTTTTTTGATGCGCATGGAGGAATTTACTCGGCAAATGCGTTTCCATCTCCTTTTATTCACATTAACCCTCTTTCGCACAAGTCAATAACCACCTCAAGCGAGCGTAAAAACTTTTTTGCAAATTAAGGGATTTTTATTCGAAATTTGCCGTTTCCATCACTCGTTTCTTATGCGATACTTCAAAATGCGCATAAAAACAGGGTGATGGAAGCATAGCTCTTTTATTGAGCTCTGTATCTCCTGCATGAGCGGTCAGTGATTGTGTCTCTGTCTCAGGAGCGACACAGGGGTGTTTGTGTCGGACATTGTGAAGGGTGGAGCGGTGGAGACTGACGGAAGGCTGATGCAGGGAGATCAGATCCTCTCGGTTAACGGCGAGGACGTTCGCTCAGCCACTCAAGAGTATGTGGCTGCGCTGCTCAAGGTGAGCGTCACAGAGTCACTGCCTTTTACAGTTGATTATTACTGAAAGATATTCAAACATTCAGATGTATCAGATATATCACTGGGCGTATCGAAAGAGAAGAGACTGTTTCTGTATATATATCTGTATAGTTTTTGGTTTAAACATTATGTATTTTATAGTGCTGTCAAACGATTAATCGCGATTAATCGCATCCAAAATAACCGTTTTTGTTTACATAATATGTGTGAGTACTGTGAATATTTATTATGCATGTAAAAATACACACACATGCATGTATATATTTAAGAAAAATATGTTGTTTATATATTTATATATAATTTAAATTAAATGAATATAAATATATGCATGTAAATACATGTAAATATTTTCAAAATAGATACTGTGTGTGTGTGTGTGTGTGTGTGTGTGTGTGTGTGTGTGTGTGTGTGTGTGTATTTATATATGCATAATAAATATACACAGTACACACACATATATTATGTAAACAAAAACTTTTATTTTGGATGTGATTAATCATGATTAATCGTTTGACAGCACTTTAAAATATATAGTTTTGGATACGATTAATCGCGATTAATCGTTTGACAGCACTCGTATTTTAGTATCATTCTGAGTCAGAATTCCTTAGGTCATTTTTTTAAATGCCTATATAGTTTTTATTAATTATTTATGTAGTTTTAGTTATTTAGTTCAAAATTTAAATGTTGAAATACAGTAAGTTTTTTATTTTATTTATTTATTTATTTTTATTTTATTTATTTACTTATTTTTATTTCAGCTAATGTTTATCTTGTTTGAAGTAGCAAAATTCTATTGTATTTTTGTTTTAGATTTAGTTAGCAATAATAACCCCAGTGAAAATCAATAGTAATGTGCAGCAAGATTTGAGAATTGTCAATAAAATGCAGTCACCATTTACATGGTGTGCCCTATGTTTGATTTATTGTTTTTATGAGCTGTGAATCAATAATGACCAGATGCTCTTGCGAAAATGTTTCATAATGTCTCCAGAACTTCTAATAGCATCTGAAATAGTGAAACCTAACTCTCATGAAATAAAGAACTAAAGTGTAAAAATGAACACATTTTTTTAAATAAATGAGATCATTTTTGAAATTTTGAGTTTGGCTCCTTCTCATGTCCTTTCTTGTATATAAATGTGATTGATCTAGTGTGAATGTGAAAACCAATACACATGTGTCACTCATGTAAACTGGTTTTGTTTTTCCTCAGAGTTGTGCTGGTCCAATCCGATTGGATGTGGGTCGTTTTAAGGCGGGGCCATTCCACTCTGAGCGCCGTCTGTCCCAGAGCAGTCAGGTCAGACACAGAAACAGTTAAAGACTCACACTCTCTTGTTTTCTGTTCCATCACTGTTCATCTGATAGCTCTGATACCGAAGCTGTGATCCCAAAACACATTCTCACACAATGAGCAAGTTTGTTCTTGAAGACTGTGGTTGCCAGATTTGAAGCAGGTTTGACCTTGTTATTAGTTGGAGTGGGTCTTACAAGTGCACACCAGTATTATTTAACATTAGTTCTTATTTTATATTTCTTATTTTTTATTTATAGTTTATTTATTATTTCAAATCAAATCAGTCATTTTTTTATTTGTCACATACATAACCATCCACAGTTAGGCATCCAGTGAAATGCTTTTTACAGTCACTCCATTACATAAAAATAAAAAATGGTAAGAAATGTTAAAGTTAAAGAATAAAACATGAATATATGAATAACAGAATTTGCATGAAATACAAAATTACAGTTATAATATACTAAATAGAATAGTACTCAATTAAAAGATAAAAAGTAGATATAGAAATAAAATATGTACAAAATAAATAGCAATAGAAAGTTTATATTTTTACATTTATTATTTATATGTTTTGTATGTATTATATATATTTATATGTTTATTATTTGTTTATTATTTATACTCATATTCATAATAATAATTATTGGTATTGTTGTTGTTATTATTATTATTGTTGTTGTTGTTAATACATTTGTACTCTTCTATTATTGTTAATATTTTGAATTAGCTTTTTTTTCATTTTAATTTTAAATTTGTTGTTTTAGTAAATTATTTATGTGCGTTTCTCATTTTTATTAGTTTATAATTTATATAGAAATTTGAATAATTTAATTTTGAACTGTAGCTTTAATTTTATTTCAGTAACTTTCAGTAATTTTAGTGCAATAACTATAACTTATTTCATTTAGTTGCCAAGGCAACATTTCTAATTCTCATTTTAAGTCATTTTTTTCCATGTAGTATATACTGTATATATATATATATATATATATATATATATTCTATATACACACACACATT